TGAGATCATGCAAACATCATATTCAGCAGCACGCAAGAGTCAGGAGAACACTTTGGAGAGGCTAGAACAATAGGATCCCATAGAAACGGAAGCTCAGAGGGGTTTGTGCGGGGAGGAGCACATCTTTCTCTCAAACAAGGCTTTTATTGTGCGGGAAGACATCTGTAAAAAAGGCTCACCCTACTCCAAAGTCCCCTGCGTTTTTCACAAAAGGCTCACTAAAGGCCCATGCCTATCAAGTTTCAAGGAGCAGCGGGAGAAGCATTCACTTATATGGAACAAAAGTTCCATAAAAAGATAGCAGACTTTGTTCCATGTATCTCAATGAGGGAGCACTGGGAACCAAGGCAGAACCTACCTTGAGAGTTGGGTTTGCCAGCCTTTGGAGGCAGGTAGGCACTGTCAAGAGCTCGTCCTACACTCGAGTAGGACCCTGGCAGAGACACATGCCCGACTGGCATGTTCCCTCCCTCCTGGTCGATCGTTCAGGAGCTTCATAAGCTTGCTTCAGCCCAAACATCACAGCGACTAATGCCAACTGACACCGGCACACTTAGAGATCCATAGAGTTTGCGCACCTTGCGTGACAGACCTCAGCAACTCAGCATTTTGGCTAACCTACTCTATTTACATATAAACACACACGGAGCACTGCAACATGGCTCCCTCTCTCTCTAGCATCAAACAGCAAAGAGAAAAAGAACAAAGGCAATAGTCCCACTTCATGGAACACAGTAACACAAACATCCTGTCTCTGTCACTTCCCACACTGTCACTTCCCATATACCGTCATGTGATAGACAACAATCCCATAACTGCAATCATGGAGCAGGAATTCTAACAGGCACATGCTTGTCTTTATGATGGACAGAGAGTGGTCATAGCAGAGGTGGGGTCTGTATCAGAGCTGACCCAAGACATTTTGTCACCCAAGGTGAACCACAAAATGGTGCACCACCTCTCCACCAGGGAAGAATGGGTGAGCAAAGATCTCTATCAGGAACAAGTGGGGAGTACATATCTACATCAGGGTCTGCTGCCCCTCTGGATACTGGGGCCTAAGGTGGTTGCCTCCCCTTGCTTCATGGGTGGGCCGACTCTGGTCTGTATACTGTACATCCCCGAGGGAGAAGAAGAAGAGTTTGGATTTGATATCCCACTTTATGACTACCCGAAGGAGTCTCAAAGCAGCTAACATTCTCCTTTCCCTTCCTCCCCCACAACAAACACTCTGTGAGGTGAGTGGGGCTGAGAGACTTCAGAGAAGTGTGACTAGCCAAGGTCACCCAGCAGCTGCAGGCGGAGGAGCGGAGACGCGAACCCGGTTCCCCAGATTACGAGTCTACTGCTCTTAACCACACTGGCTGTGGTGGTACGTGCACCCAAGGGCGGACAAAGACAGATTTTGCTCTCACTGCAAAAGGCTTCTCAAAGCACATGGCTTTATCTCTTACCATAGGAGTGCCTGGCAGATGGGTGTGAGGGAATTAATATTCAGGGATGTGTACACAGGGATTCAGTTGGGGTGGGAAGCAAGTCTACTTTATTCTCCTGCTGAGTCCTGAAAAGACAGAGGGGAGGACATTCTTTGTGGCAGCCCTTAAAGGTAAAGGACCCCTGACAGTTAAGTCCAATTGCTAACGACTCTGGGGTCACGGCACTCATCTCGCTTTACTGGCCGAGGGAGCCGACGTTTACCCTCAGTTTTTCTGGGTCATGTGGCCAGCATGACTAAGCCACTTCTGGCAAACCAGAGCAGCGCAAGGAAACGCCATTTACCTTCCCGCCAGAGCGTTACCTATTTATCTACTTGCACTTTGACATGCTTTCAAACTGTTAGGTTGGCAGGAGCAGGGACCGAGCAACGGGAGCTCATCCCGTAGTGGGGATTCGAACCGCCAACCTTCCGATCGGCAAGTCCTAAGCTCTGTGGTTTAGACCACAGCGCCACCCGCAACCCGTGGCAGCCCTTAAGCTGTGGAATTCCCTTCCCACAGAGTGTCTCGTCTGGCTCTGGCAACTTCATTATACAACTTCCAGTGAATGTTGAAGATGCATCTCTATACAGTGGTACCTCGGGTTACATACGCTTCAGGTTACATACGCTTCAGGTTACAGACTCCGCTAACCCAGAGATAGTGCTTCAGGTTAATAACTTTGTTTCAGGATAAGAACAGAAATCGCACTCTGGCGGTGCGGCGGCAGCAGGAGGCCCCATTAGCTAAAGTGGTGCTTCAGGTTAAGAACAGTTTCAGGTTAAGAACGGACCTCCGGAACGAATTAAGTACTTAACCTGAGGTACCACTGTACTCTGGCTTTTGACACTTGAGATGTAGATCTATAAGACCTGCTTTATTTTTGTGATTCATCCTGGGACCTTTGGGCAAAGGCTGGGTAAAATAATACTAATTACTATGAGTTATGACACCTTACTATTAGTTTTTCCAACAGAGAACGAACAGGCTCTGCTTTCCTATGCACAAATTATCTTGCTGTCTCCTTCCCTCACCCTGATTATATTTGTTAATTTTACCATACATGCCATGTCTCAAATTCTAACCAGCCACTTATCAATTAGAGACAGGAATGGGCATTAATAGTTTTGGCACCTTGCCATTTTAGAAGCGATCAACAGATGAGCTGTCATTTTACAGTCCTAATTTGATATCATGTGGGGTTTTTTAGACACCTGCATAATATTACAAGGGGATCTCTAGGAAGAATTTTCATTTATTTATTTCTAGGCTTACAAAGATTCACAGCATTTGCTGACCCCTGGACCAGCCCATAAAATACTGAAAAATAGCTCTGGGTGCCTGGTATTGCCAACATTGATCACCTATCCTCAACGAGATCTTTCTCCAACTGGTGTTAAATGCTACCTAGCTAATACGCTATTTTTTAAAATCTGTAAAATTAATACAAGGAGTAGAATGGGAAAACTTTGTTGCTGTTGTTGTGAGGGAACATAAAAAGCTTTGTCTTAGAAGTCCAACTGGAACTGAAAACCAAAGTTATCTAGGGGACAACAGACAGTGCTATTTTTCCAGGATGAGGTTCAGGAACTGAGTTCCGGCAAGTTCTGGCTGGGGAAAAAAGCCCTGATGATAGTTAAATGAAAAGAGAGTATAATGGGAAAGGCAGAGAAACAGAGAAGCAAGGAAGGGATGGACTGATGAACAAGAAAGGGGTAGAGACAAAATAATGGCTGCTGGGGAGCCAAGAGGACCTGCAGTTGCAAGCCTAGCTTGCATATCAAGGGGAATTCAGCTGGTAAGTCTGGAATATGCAGAAATGGAGAAATTACCAGGAAAAAAAGAAATCAAGATAAAAAACATTTTTTTAAAGAATGGAAATAGTTTATTGGATATTTGCAGACAAAGTGTAAACAGGTAAGAACATCAGTGAGACGTTAACATATATGAGAGAGTGCTGGAGGGGAAATAGTTAAATAGGTTGCACAGACAGGACCCAGGGGGGTGGAGTCAGTGGGTCTATAAAACTAGTTCTGAGAGGAGTTCTGGGGGAGTTTGTTGGGAGTTGTGGGTGGGTAGTTAGTTGGATTTCATGGGTTGGCTGGTTGGGAAAGGCAGTTGGTAATAGAGAGGCAGTTAGGGCAGTTGGTCCTTGAGTGTGGGGAAGATAGCAGAGATAGAGGGAGGAACACAGAACTAAGAAAGTAAAGAGGAACACCATTTGGAATGCTGTACAAGTTTTGTTTTATATCTGAAATAAAATACACTCTTCTTTATTAATTGAAAAGCTGACTGAGACTGAAGTGATTTTACCAGGGAGGACCTGGTTGGTGGCAGCGGATTAGTGGTGTATGGGTCAATAGTCCGTGAGACGACCGGGGGCTCTGTACGAACGCCACAATCAGCTTCACAATCTGCTCACTGGAAGGACAGATTGTGAAGCTGAGGCTCCAGTACTTTGGCCACCTCATGAGAAGAGAAGACTCCCTGGAAAAGACCCTGATGTTAGGAAAGATTGAGGGCACAAGAAGAAGGGGACGACTGAGGATGAGATGGTTGGATAGTGTTCTTGAAGCTATGAACATGAGTTTGACCAAACTGCGGGAAGCAGGACAATGTAGTCAGAAGCTTTGTTGTGTGCTCTCTATAAAACAAATGCCCTACTGGAACAATTACATGAGAAGGTGAATTGGATGGCGACTTCGACTAGAAATTTTGAACAGGCAGTGGGAAATTTTGAACAGACAGTGGGAAAATATGTGGAGCCCACTCAGGAATTAAATCAGGAGTGTGTCTTGACAGAACAGGCCCAACAGGAATATGATTTTTCGGATTTGACAAATGAACTTGGAAAAGCCAGATTTGGAAAGGAAAAGTTTGGTTTGGCTTGGAAATGGGGGGCTGGATTGACCCCCCTATGCTGGGATGTTTGGACTTTTCAAATATGGCAATGGGCCGTGAGATGTTTGGGACTGTGGGGGCTCTTAATTTTGGAGGGTCTTTGAAACATGCTTTTAAATACTACATGGAATTCAGTGTTGAATATGGAAAAGGGGCTGATCTGTCGAGAAGGGTTAAAAACATTGTCAAGCTGGAGTTACCACGAGCAGGAGACAAGGGAAAATACAGTTACAAATATGAAGAAGAGCCGCGGAAGGGACACGGAAGAGACCTGAGGGCCTCGGATATAAGGTTGCCAGGTTAATGGGCTAGATCGATGGGATAATAAGGACTGACAAAATCCGGAACCAGGAGGAAGGGACTTTGGATGAAGATTGGATCTGTTTGTATCTCTTTTGTCTACCATTAGAACTGTTTTATAAAATTGATGAATGTTAGAAAAATGTTGGAATGAAATTGCTTGGCTTTAGCAAAGATGTTTAAAGAATTATGAAAGAATATTATGGTTATGAGAAGTTGGTAAGGATAAGATTTAAGTTTTAAGCTTTAAGGTTTATTTTATTATAGAAAGATAAGATTAAAACAGTTTAGGGTAATGTAATGACAGAATATTATGAAACATGGAAAGGATTTGCTGGGATAATTAATAACTAGGATACAAAGAAAGGGAGGAGGAGGAGGTCTAAGAAAGAAGGCAATGACAGTTAAGGATCTGAAAATAATGAATTTGTTTTTAAATGTTTTTAACGGTTTGTGATGTATTTTTGTATTTTTCTTTTTTTCTGTCACTTTTTCTTATTTTGAATTTTTACTCATATGGTGGGAAGGGGTTTGTTTTTGTTTGTTTTTTCTTCTTCTTCTACTTTGTCAACTATTTTTATTTTGTACTTTCTTCTGCTTCTATTTTATTTTTTATTTTTTGTAACATTTTGAAAATTTCAATAAATATCTTTAAAAAAAAAAAACAAACTGCGGGAAGCAGTGGAAGACAGGAGAGCCTGGCGTGCTCTGGTCCATGGGGTCACAAAGAGTCGGACACGACTAAACGACTAAACAACAACAACAAGAACATCATCGGGATTATTGTAATAAACTGCAGAGTCATAGGAGTATGTATTTTAAGTAGATGAGTAAATGAACAAATTACGTCAATTTGGATATGAAGAAGATGTTAAAAATAAATTTAAGGTAGTGCAGAAAGAGGAGGAAGGAAATCGAGTTTTGAAATGTTAAAATGATTGTAAAATTATTGAAATGTATAAACCTGAAAATCGTAAATAACTTTTATTTTATTTCTTTTTTAAAAGGGGGAATTCAGCCATTTGCGACTTCTTTGGAAACTGGAGTACTGGGAGCTAGCGACTGCATAATAAGGCAAGGAACACCCTGCTGGATGTGACCAAAGACCAATGTCGTCCAGCATCCTGTTCTCCCACAGTCGGAAGCCCACAGACAGGACCTGAGTGCAGCAGTGCTCTCCAGTGACTCAGAGGCGTACTGCTGCCAGCAGTTGCAGTAGAACACAGCCATCATGATGGCAAGGTGGTCTAAGAGGTAGAGAAGGTCCGGCAAGACCTTGGGAAGCTGCAGAGGTGCTGGAACTAGCTGGCCCACTCCCTGGCTGGAGGCTTCAATTATTGTCCAAAGTCAGCTTGACCAGCCTGAATGCTGCTGAACATACAGTTCCAGAATTGCAAGCATGAAAACTGCTGCGTTCCCCTAATTTTTGCCCTGGCCCTTCAAGGGATGGCTCCTGCTCTTGCCAGTCAGCTCTTCCATCTCTCACCATGGAGCCTCATGCCCACAATTAGGCAACCCTGCTTCTCAAGTTTGCAGCTTTTATTTCCCTTCTCGCTCTCTTTGTTCCACCTCCTGTTGCGCTCCCTCCTGTCTCGGTGCAATTTGCCACTGATGAATAGGGGATTCTGTTCTTTCTGCTGACGCAGATACAAAAAGAGCTCGGGCTTTTGAAAAAGAAAAGAATCTTCAATCCCAGTTTTATCACATCCTCAGCTTTCTTCACTATGAAAATGGGGGGGCGAGGAGATAAATATGCATGAGAAGGCAACATTTCAGCAATAATAATTCCATTTAAACCAAAGCGTTTGTAGCTGCAGCAAAGGTAAAAAGCTAATGCCAATATCCAGAGTCCATCTTCAGCACCGTCTGCTGCATCATGAATAATGAGACATTGCTGAGGTTCTTTTGAGGTAGCCACTCAATGATACACAATGTACTTAAGTGGAAGCTTCTTTGGTGCTGCCAGAATGGTTTGGAAGTTTCTGACTATGGATTCATGATAGCCAACGAGGTGCCCTCTAGAATTGTTGAACTACAATTCCCATCAGCCCCAGTCAGTGTTGCTAATGGTCAGGTATGACAGGAGTTGTAGTCTAACATGTTGGCTTTGTTGTTGTTTAGTCGTTTAGTCGTGTCCGACTCTTCGTGACCCCATGGACCAGAGCACGCCAGGCACTTCTGTCCTCCACTGCCTCCCGCAGTTTGATCAAACTCATGCTGGTAGCTTCAAGAACACCATCCAACCATCTTATTCTCCGTCGTCCCCTTCTCCTTGTGCCCTCCATCTTTCCCAACATCAGGGTCTTTTCCAGGGAGTCTTCTCTTCTCATGAGGTGGCCAAAGTATTGGAGCCTCAGCTTCAGGATCTGTCCTTCCAGTGAGCACTCAGGGCTGATTTCCTTCAGAATGGAGAGGTTTGATCTTCTTGCAGTCCATGGGACTCTCAAGAGTCTCCTCCAGCACCATAATTCAAAAGCATCAATTCTTTGGCGATCAGCCTTCTTTATGGTCCAGCTCTCACTTCCATACATCACTACTGGGAAAACCATGGCTTTTACTATACGGACCTTTGTTGGCAAGGTGATGTGTCTGCTTTTTAAGATGTTGTCTAGGTTTGCCATCGCCTTTCTCCCAAGGAGCAGGCGTCTTTTAATTTCGTGACCGCTGCTTAAAGGTAAATATTGCCCGGATGAAGAGACTGTTAATCCAAAACATATTCCATTATATCTCTCTCACCCCTGCAATAATCCTTTGCCAAGGCCTTTAGCCCCTCAGCAACTGATTATGTCAGAAGTCTGCATGTGGCCTGGAGCAGCAGGCAGTGTACAAGCCATGTTTATCCACACACAGTCCTTGAATGTGCATACATGTTATGTACTGAGTTGAATAGGATCCAAAAGGCAGCAGTCTGATTGGTCCTAGAACAACAGGATTCAGAATGCAGTGGTCTGATTGGTCCTAGAACAACAGGATTCAGAATGCAGCAGTCTGATTGGTCCTAGAACAATAGGATTCAGAATACAGCAGTCTGATTGGTCCTAGAACAACAGGATTCAGAATGCAGCAGTCTGATTGGAGCCACCCAATCCAGCTCCAGGTGGAAGTGAATCCGCAACCTGATTGGCCTACAGGTGAACCCTGGAAATAGCCAATCACGTGGGGCCCTTGTGTAAATAATGTATATAAAGCAGACATTCTGGAGGAACTTCCATTCAACCTCACCACTCTGAGCTGAATAAAGAGCATGAAATCCACCCTCGACTCTGAGTATATTTCAATGCACTTTGATGGATTATGAGCATCAGGGAACTTTAGCCAGAACAAGCCCAAATACTCCAGACATCGTATCAATTCCCACTGTGCAGGACATAGCCATTGCAAAGGCCAACAAGACTCCATGTGTCAGGGACCGGCAAGATACTGATGGGTGTGCACCGGGAAAAGGGGAGCTGGAATCTGCCTCAGAAGAGATAGGCAGCAATTTGTGGGGACTTATACCAGCTGAAGGGGACACAGGTGGCGCTGTGAGTTAAACCACAGAGCCTAGGGCTTGCCGATCGGAAGGTCGGCGGTTTGAATCCCCGCGACGGGGTGAGCTCCCGTTGCTCGGTCCCTGCTCCTGCCAACCTAGCAGTTCAAAAGCACATCAGAGTGCAAGTAGATAAATAGGTACAGCTCCGGCGGGAAGGTAAACAGCGTTTCCGTGTGCTGCTCTGGTTTGCCAGAAGCGGCTTATTCATGCCGGCCTCATGACCCGAAAGCTGTACGCCGGCTCCCTCGGCCAATAAAGCGAGATGAGCGCCGCAACCCCAGAGTCGTCTGCTACTGGACCTAATGGTCAGGGGTCCCTTTACCTTTATACCAGCCGAGAGACAAGATTTAGAGGCAGGGGAAGCTTCAGAGCTGGAGCACAGGATGGGCTGGAGGAAGAGGAAGGTCAGGTAAGTGAAGGGCAGGGTGCTTCCCAACCCTCTCCTGCACCACTGTCTCCCAGAACCAGGGGTGGAGGAAGGGGAGCGGTAGGGGCAGTCCACCCCAGATGTCACCACTGAGGGGAGTGACAAAATGCCAGGCGGCACTTACCGGGGGACTGCAGCACGCCCAAACTATGTGTCTCTCCTGGGAGTGAAGCAGTGGCTTGGGTGCCCGCAGGCTCCACGCTGCCCCAAACGGTCCGCCCACTCCCTCCGCCTCAGCTGTAGAGCGGCTGAGTGGGAGGAGGCAGGCAGACTCCTCAGAGGCCCCACGGAGCATCCTGCCCCGGCTGGCCCCACCCCTGGGCGTAGGGCACACACGCCGCCCCAAGCGCCCAATTGGCTTTCTCTGCCACTGCCCAGAACCAGGAGGGGACTGAAGAGGGGTGGGCAGAGGACGCTTCCATGCAGGCATAGTCTCCAGTTGCAAGTGCACAGCCCACCAGTGGAAGGTGCATGAACTGGTGGAGGGGAAGTGGTTCCTTGTTGCTGCAACTACTCCATAGAGAGCAAACCTAGGAATCATAGAATCATAGAATCATAGAATCATAGAGTTGGAAGGGACCACAAGGGCCATCGAGTCCAACCCCCTGCCAAGCAGGAAACACCATCAGAGCACTCCTGACATAACGCTGACTCCTGCCTAGACGCTAGATTGCTGAGCGTAGGTATTCAGAGCTGTAGAAGCAATTGCAATCTTTGACAATAGGTTAACTATCTGCCATGTGCATTTATTTGGCCAGGAAGCACACATGACATAGTGAGACCATGATATTGGTGCATGCCAACAATGCCCTGCACAAGACAAGCCACCCACAAACCATCTGAGTTTCCTCTAGTTACTTTAGCTACATTATCCGTTTTAAACTTATTTGGCATCAAACAGACCGTACATTTAAGGCACATTCCCCCATCCACAAGATTCAAGTAGCAAAATATAGGAACTGTGATTCACCAGGGAGAGGCACCAGAAAAATCAGACTTGTCCTAAGCAAAATAGAGACAACTGGAGAATATGCTACAACAGATTATCTATCCTTGGTTTCCCCATTTATTCAGCTCTGTGAAAAGATAAACGGCCACCATATCTTAAAACATGCACAGTATTAATCTTTGGCCTGCCCTACTATTTTGCAAGGAGATTATTCTCCTCAAAATTTACAGAATTCAATCTTCAAGTAAGCAGTCAGTCGCTGATCCCAGGGGAATGTGCCATTGTGCACTCACAGGATAACAAAGAAGCAAGATATTTAGCTGGTATTTGTTTTAGCATAGAGACATTCCCTATCGTTTCAAACACTTGGCAACCATCCCAGCAAAGCTCAGCTAGTTCTATTACAGCAGGAGTTTGCAACAAATAAGATTGCTCAGCACTGCAGAACTTTAAAGGGTAGAATCCTACAGTTTTTGTTTTTCCCTTCCTAAAATCAGGTCCACACAACTTGCAACTCTCCAAGTCAAACACACCTCACTGGCCATATATAATGTGCCACAGAGGGTTTAAATAACCGCCTGCCCAACACTGGAAAGGATTGTGTGTGTTTGTGTGTGTGTGTGAGAGAGAGAGAGAGAGGGAGGGAGAGAGAGGGAGGGAGGGAGCTGCCTTACATGGCTCAGGAGACCACAAGTTGTGTTGGTCTGCTCTCAAACTCAGCACTACCAATGGGCAACTCTGAGGCTTCAACTTGCAGCTTCTTGGCCTGAGGCTGGGACAGACCGAGAAACGTACCTGGAACTCTGTGTGCTCATAGCTTGATAGCATGACAGCTCTTACTCTCTTCTCTATTTTGTTTCCCTTCAGCCGATGGGGGCTTTGGGTTCACTGCAAAGGATCAGCTGCCCCGTTTGACATTAGCAGCCCAACATATGACATTAGCAAAGGGTGAGAGAGAAGGAGCCGGTGGATTGTTTGTGTAAAGAGGGCAGGAGCCTGGAGTAGCAGCATCCGTCCGTGTGCGTGTGTGTACTCAAATGCCTGATTTCTGCATTTAGCATCAGTAGGACATACAGTGGTTGTTGTCTTGTTGTTTAGTCATTTAGTCGTGTCCGACTCTTTGTGACCCCATGGACCAGAGCACGGCAGGCACTCCTGTCTTTCACTGCCTCCCGCAGTTTCGTCAAACTCATGCTGGTAGCTTCGAGAACACCGTCCAACCATCTCGTCCTCTGTCGTCCCCTTCTCCTTGTGCCCTCAATCTTTCCCAACATCAGGGTCTTTTCCAGGGAGTCTTCTCTTCTCATGATGTGGCCAAAGTATTGGAGCCTCAGCTTCAGGATCTGTCCTTCCAGTGAGCACTCAGGGCTGATTTCCTTCAGAATGGATAGGTTTGATCTTCTTGCAGTCCATGGGACTCTCAAGAGTCTCCTCCAGCACCATAATTCAAAAGCATCAATTCTTCGACGATCAGCCTTCTTTATGGTCCAGCTCTCACTTCCATACATCACTACTGGGAAAACCATAGCTTTAACTATACGGGCCTTTGTTGGCAAGGTGATGTCTCTGCATTTTAAGATGCATACAGTGGTATCTTGGGTTAAAAACTTAATTCGTTCTGTAGGTCCGTTCTTAACCTGAAACTGTTCTTAACCTGAAGTACCACTTTGGAGGCTAATGGGGCCTCCCGCCGCCGCCCCGCCACCCCACGATTTCTGTTATCCTGAAGCAAAGTTCCTAACCTGAAGTACTATTTCTGGGTTAGCAGAGTCTGTAACTTGAAGCGTCTGTAACCTGAAGTGTCTGTAACCCGAAGTACCACTGTACCTGGCTTCCATAGTAGCATGAAATGGAAAAGGGTGCACTGTGAGGCCTAGAATTTAAGAGACATACTTTTCTGCATGTTTCATTCAGTGGAGACAAGAGGGAGAGAGGTCTGAGGAAGAAAGAGACCTCTACTCATAGGCAAACTGCAAGCTCAGCCATCCCACTAATACTTGCCAAAATGGATTAAACTAATAGAAATGTTCATGGATTTTATATCTAACACTGCCTGTGTAGCCTAAGCCATCCTGTATCCATTGCCATCCTTTCACACAATGCAAACTGACACCTGTGCCCCATAGGCCTGTAATATACAAGGCTAAAAATGCTAATTTTGCCTCTTAATGTCTCCCTGATTAAAGGATCCCTTTCTGTGGGCCAAAAGCTTGAATCCAAACACTCTGAACATCATCAGGCACAGCCTGACAGCAGTTGTTACCCAACTTCAAGACACTTCTGTTAGTGACTTCTTGGACTCTGACACCAAGCCAAGGTTGTCTGGCTAGAAATTTGCATTGTTCTTGAATCTGTTCAGCCCAGAGTCTGAACTGGTACTCATTAAACCTCTGGCCAATTCTGGGTGGGGAAACATTTCCCTTGAAGCAACAAGTTTATAGCTTGGTGGTACTCCTGCACCCTGCTCAAAGGTTGCAGCTGTGGCTAAGAGTGTTTTTCTCCAGCTTTGCTCAATGTGCTACCCAGGGCTATAAAGTGCCAGCCAAGGTCATATGCGTCCTGCTAACCTCTCTAAATGTTGGGCTGATATAATGTGTTTTATGTGGAGTTGCCATGGAGACAAGTTCAGCTGCTGCAACCAGTGATGTTTGGGGAAGAACATGTCCACTATGCGTTTCTATAGAAAGTTTTCAATAGATAACAATGCATTGCCGCATAAAATTCACCGGCAACATAACAAATGGATACAACACTAGTTAAACCAGGCAGGTTCAAAGTTGTGATGAACTTTTTCGGATGACTGTCCCTAAATCACAAAACAGTATCTTTTCTCATTTATATACAGATCTGAAAATGATAGTGCAGTCAAACCTCCACCCATTTAGGATGCTGGAAAAAATTATCAGCAACCCAAGTGGCTGAAACTGGTCCAGAATGCAATAACCCAGTTTCTGAGTAGAATATGGTTGGGCTGATCATATGAAGCCCACCTTAAAACCTGCACTGGTTGCCAGATACTTCATGGGCCCCTTTCAAAGTGCTGCTTTTGTCCTTTAAAGCTTTAAAAAAACATAGCAAGTCCTCAATAGCAAGTCCTCTATGGTCATCTGTGGAGGTTGTATTTCAGGGATTCCTCACTGTTATGTATTCAGTGGTCTGTGTTTGCCTGAGCTTGAGTCTGGACTAAAGATTCTGAGCCCCTGTGTTCTGATTTGATACATGATATCCAATCACAGAACACTTCAGGATTTCGGCCTCTGCCATTGGCCCTTAAACCCTGAGTCATGATTCACAGCTTGGAAGTTTAGACAGCCAATCGCGTCGGGAGTGGGAACGGCCCAGGCCT